ATCCACAAGCAAGGGAGAGAGAAAGAAACTGAGATTATGAAACTCAAACCCCATCCCCAGTAACACACCTCCTCCAACAAGAGCGAGGACCTGCCTTCTAGTCACTGACTTATTCCTTCTGGCTCCCATGTCCTTATTCACATGCTCTTGTGCCTAGCTGAAAGGGACACAACCATAATGTCTGTTGCCTAAGGAACATAATCCACATTTTCCCTGGAAAAGACAAAAGCAATGATTCTTAAACTGGAGCCATCTCTATTATTCCTGAGACTACTGAATCTATCCCTAAATTCCTTACAGATAAACAAAGGAAGGCTCTGAGAGCATCATGAAGAAACTTGGATCCAATCTGACAGCATAAAAACAAAGCAAAACAAAACAGAGCTATTCAGGTATGGTGGTGCACACCTGTAATCCCAGCACTCAGGGAGGCAGAGGCAGGAAGGAAGATCTCTGTGAGTTTGAGGCCAGCTTGGTGTACAAAGTGAGTCCAGGACAGCCAGGGCTGTTACTCAGAGAAATCTTGTCTCAAAAAAAAGAAAAAAAGAAAGAAAAAGAAGAGAAGAAAAGAAAAGAAAAAAGAAAAAAAAGCCCACAGAGCTGAGTGGAAGTGATATTAAATAATGATGGGACCACTAAAGAGAGGGGCCAGGAGTCACAGGGACCCGGCAAAGGCTGCAGACAAGAAAGTAGCACATCACCAAAAATGTATGGTAATAAAGATTTGGTAAATAAATCCTATCCAACAAAACAGACTTTCAGGAAACTGTAAAAATGTTTAACTGCTAATAAAATGAAAGCAAAAGTTTTAGATACAAATTTTAAGTCAGTTTACTTTAGTTCCTAGAGACTATTTTTTAAATAATTATTTTTATAAGAAAATAAGAGCCCAAGTCATTGTAACTGAAGCCCAGAAATACAATAGTTAAGTTTAATCCAAATTATGATTATTTAATAAGACAAGTAGCTACATATGAGAAACCTTTTCTGCCTTTGTGACAAATCTGGCTTAGTTGTCAAAGTTTTGGTTAATGGATCATTTAGAATGCTACTTTGTCTTCTCTAAAATCACCAAATTTTACAATTATCACTCATTTAAAAGCCCTTGTCTGATGAGGTATGATAACTCAACTGCAATTAGGAAGCTGGAAAAGAGGCCTGTGAACATTTTATCAGAATATAAACCAGGCCATTTAGAGGGAGGAGAACAAGAGGGTACATTGAATAACTTAGACTATAAAAGGGCAACTAATTAGAAAATAAATCTCTCATCTAAATGAATTAGCAAATAAACGTTAAACCATGTGGTTAATGCTATTAAGTAACGTAGGAGATACAGGAAGAATTTTAGAATTCCAGATGAATCTTTTTTTTTTTTTTTTTTTTTTTTTTATTGTGGGTATCTTTCCTACCCCAGTACTTTGTGCTGCATTTTGGAAGTGTATGCTCAGCAGCATGGGGAAAATAGCCAAAGTCTTTAACATAATTGAAAAGGTACTAACTCAAGAGGGAGCGTGTGCAGACCCCGTCTCTGACCTTAGCTTGGAGGGAGAGCCTGAAAAATTGTCCATATTGAGTGGCTGCCTGGTCAGGGTGTGAGAAGGTGGTCCAAGAGAGAGGGGACTGTGGAGAACAGATACAAACTTTGCTTTAAGAGTCTCTCATCTCCAGTGCGAACCACATCACTCATTGTACACTTTATAAATCCCGGCTTTATATACGGCATGAAAAGATGTACTCTCTTCAAATGTCTGTTTGTGGCACTGAACTATAGAAGCATCTTTCTGACTTTGTATTATTTTTTTCTTGCCTTCATTCTTTTTGCCACAGCCATTCTCTCTTCTACTGAAAGGAGACTGTCCATGATCCCTAACCTTTTTTCATCTCCCCATTGTGTCCCTCTTAGATGGACTCAAAATGATAAAATAGTGAAAATGATGTCAGTGGATCAGTAAGGATGGGTATGAAGCTGGGGAACTGTGTGGAGAAGGGCCTGTTCACATGGAGAACTGTCTGGACAATTTAGGAGACCCAACAAAGCTTTCAGCGAACATGTTTCCCTGGCTTTCTCACCACGGTGTCACTTTTCAAACAAGAAAACTTGAGGTTGAGGCATTGGAGTAATATGCTGTTTGGGTAGAAGCTACATCGTTACTGGAAGACCCAGAACTTCAACTTTAGCTGTGGACCTTGTTTTTCAGTCCATTTGTATCCTCCAGACACAAGCAAACCTCTCACACAGTTGGGGTTTTTCATGGAAGCCAGCCTGGCTTGGGGCAGAAGGACCTGTGACTCCATGTAATTGTTTCAATCTCGTGCTCACCTGACTTGAAGCAATTACTGAGATCACAGAATGTAACTGTGTTCTTAACAAAACCAAAGTATCATTCCACTAGCAAGCTAATCAAAACTGGCTTACTCTCTGTTAATCAGGACTGTGTTTCAACCTCCTTTGCCTTCTTCTTCCTGCTGCGTTTGTCTCAAACACTTAACACCCTCCCCTCAGACACTACCTTCCTGCAGTGCCTATAGTTTTATAGCTTTAGTTCTTGTCTTCTTTCTTTCGTGAGCAGTGTCTGTGATAGTCAAATTCTGCATTTCATTACCCACTTGTTGTCTAGCCCACCTTCTTAGAAAACTCTCAAAGGCTCACTCTCTGACAAGAAGCCTACTTTGCAACACTTTCTTAGTGTTTATTTGCCTGAGAAACTGTTCAGTAAGAATATTAAATATACTTAGACATTTGAGTGAAACATGTTGTTTTCTATAACATATATACAACATCACAACAACAAAGTTGTCTCAATTTTCAAAACCCCCTTGAGATAAAGCATAATAATTGGAATCCACACTTACCATATCCCTTTTTAGCTGCCCAGACTCCGCACCACTCAGCAAACCCAGTGGACAGCTGTGCAGAACCAACATGTCTCAATAGCTACTAAATTCTCCCTACATCTGTATTGCCTTCCAGTCATTACCCTCCATACTGTTACTTCTTAGACTGAATTGTTGGGCTCACAATGGAAATATTGAGTCAGTTAAACCAAGGATACAATCTTACGCTATGGTATCATCATGCCCCAACAAATATAATAATCTCAATTTTTAAAAGATTTTTACAATTAATAAAAACAATCTTTTACTGGGTAGAAATGTTTGCAAACTTGAAAACTTTAAAATTAAAATTATGATTTCCTTTGATGGAGGAAACTAGAGCACTTAAATTTTTCAAATAAAATCACAAACTTGAAAATATGGTTGCCACATTATAAATATGGGTGCTACATTATAAATATGATTGCTACTCCCATTTCTCTCATCTGAAATGAAAACTTGATTCTTTACTCTTGAAAAATGTTTTCTCTTGAAAAATGTTAAAGGTATCATTGAGATGGCAGAGGATGTAATGGATTAAAAAATGACATCACAGCTAAAGGCTCTTAGTGGTATTTACTTTGAACATTACTTTACCACTTACTTTTCAAAGACATATTTGGTAGTTTTGTTTGTTTGTCTGTCTGTTTGTTTGTTTGTTTTGTTCTGGTAACAGGATTTTAGGTTATTTCTAGGATGCTCTGAAACACTCATTAGGTATCCCAGGCTAGTCTTAATCATTGTCAATCCTCCTCCTTTATCCTTCCTACCTGGATTTATTACTTACTAAACTGAGAATAAATACAGTTTGCTCATAAGCATTAAAGTCCTATAACTAGATGGAAATAATTTTTTATAACAAGAATATTTTAAGGGAATAGATACATCAAAGTTTTCTACTGATATGTGGTAATAATATCATAAGAAAATCAAGGTAAATAAAGGTAATTAAAATGACTAGGCCTCCAAGTTTATTAGGTTTTGCATAACACTGATACACACATGGAGTTAACTTTTATACAGAACCATGAGAAAGACGATATGGCCATTTCATGTATCTGAGGCCAAAGAAGAACGGATTGTGTTGGCATGTTTATTTACTGAGTTTGAGAATAATGAAGACAGGAGTTAAATTTTTCCTTAAGTTTAGGCAGCATGGTTAGTTGTCAGTTGTTGAATTTTTTTTTCCCTAGATCTCCTGATTTTATAAACAAGGTACATGATTGGAGTGATCATACGCTGCTTCCTACCTCAACTCTTACAAGCAAAAACAATTGTGGAACTCCACCTGCTGCACACTGGGGATGACAGGGCTGATGCCATCTTCACTTCAGGAGAGCCACTGACACAGAATCTAGGTTGTTGATCTTCCCCCATGGAAGGAGGGACCACTGTGAATGTAATCAGACCTTCGCTTGAGACTGCAGCCGCTTCCCCCGTCCCCACAAGCTGCACACACCGCTGTTCCAGGGCAGGTGGTGTCAGAAGGTACTAAATGTACAGGAGCTGGCAGAGCATTGGTAGGCTACCACCCATGCTAAGGTGGGACTTCTCATTGGTTCAGCTGTTTGGGCATCACTGATCATCTCTAAGTAGTCCCTAGCTCATGTCTCTGAAACCTCAATAAACTCATTGGTTCACCAACGATCAATTCTTTCATTTGCCGTTGATGTTCTATTGGAGTGAACAGATTTGTTCGCGTATACCATGGGGAATGGAATAGAGCAATTAACTATTAAAACCTCAATAATCAAAAGTACATTTATTGAACACACTGTTTGAAAGTAGTGCTACACATACGTCCTGACTTAAAGAAATGTTTTCTTCTCCATAAAGTATTAAATTTAACAATATGAACAAAATGAATAAAGTGCATTTCCTTTCAAATCTGATCAACTTATCTTTTGAACAACTTTTTTTTTTTTTTTTTTTTTTTTGCATAACGCAAGACACCTGATACATACTCTTTATTTAAGTGTCAAAATTAGTTATTGGAAAAAGCAAATTCCAGGAAAAATTTTAAAACTGACTTTTGTTCTACCACGATATATTCATGAGTTCCACACTACTAACACAGAAATGCCAGAGTTGACACGTCACTATCTGAATTAAAAAGTACTTACACTATTGGCTTTTCCAGACGACTTCCCTGTGAGCCAACAATCTCCCCCAATGTACAAAACACTTGTCCCAGAAAGTCCTAAAATAGATAAGAGGATTAAAGCTCATAAGTTCCCACACTATTGAGGAGCAGATATTTTGTGCATCACTTTTGCATTATTTTCATTACTGAGACACAGAATTCTCAATTCCACAAATAAAACAAGCCCAATGTGAATCAATTTTAGCATGTGGCTTTCCTCCAGGTTCACATGTAATTTCACACTTTAGTCACGGAACCAGTTTGTTGTCTTGGCCTGCTAGGTCCTGCAGTGTCACAAGACCGTAAACCAGGGGCCCTGCCATGGTCTGGATGCTGGCACTGAGAGAGCAGATTGTCAGGGGGAAGCCCCATGCCCTGACTAGCCCGGATGCTTCAGAGGCCTTTGCTATCAGAAAAGCTCTGCAGGGAGGAGCTTCATGCATTGAATTGCCCAAGGAAAGCCCTGTGAACGATGTACAGACATCAAACCTGATGTTTCATTTTCAGTCAAAGAAAAGTCGATAAATCTACCTGTTAAATATGCAAGGTGTTGACACCGAGGTCACTAAAGTTCTAGAAAAAACGACTTCTCAAATTAAAAATTAAAAAGGCAACACATGCTTGGGAGTTATTACTGGCCCCTTTACAGATGAGGGAACTGGGGTTTGAAGTAAGCAGCTTGCACAGAACCATGCTGAAAACCCAGAAGATGAATTCAAGGCTCACCAGGGCATTATGTCCAGCCATGCTACCTCTGCTACAGAGGGAGAAGACACAAAAAGCCAACAAACCACAGTGAGGGGAAAGCAAGGTGGACAGTGTTCAAAGTCCAACCAGGAGAAAACACCATATGTAGACTAGGAAGTAAGCCTTGAGAGGCAGGTAGGGTCAGACTCAGCTCTTAATCCTAGAGGAAAGATCAGACTATGAGTGAGCAAGAAGTGAGCAAAGAGAGGATCTCAAGGGAAGGGAAGATGTGGAGGTGAAGAACTCGGACCTTGAAGGACTCTCTTGGCTGGTCCATTGGAAGCAACCATTCAGCTTTGGTCAGGGCAGGGAGTCCAGACAGCACACACCCAGTACCTTCCTGCAGCATGGGCTCTTGACAGGAAAGCATCTGCACTCAGGAGACTGCAGTCGCTAATATTAAGCAGAGTGCTGTCACCCAAGCCAAGGTTACAGTGTCCGGTGGGAAACAGATTTGAAGAGCAATCCCTGTGTGGTGGGGCTGGAGGTGGTGAGGAGCAGTGCGGAGACCCAGAAGTTCACTCTAAATCTCGAGCTTGGTAACAGGACTATACTGTCTTAAAAATGCAGGTCTTTTAAAAATGTGTTCCTAAGTATGCAAAACAACTTAAATCCTTCTCATAGATGGTTAATAATTAAATCATATTTAAATTGCAAGTCATTAGCATACTGTGTCAATTTCCATACATATTTAAAATATGGGAGTTGAGCAACCCTAAAGCTACCTAGAGCTAACACTCGGCCTTCCAAATGCTTGGTATTTAAAAAATCATTGCTTTGCTGAGTAGTTGCAAGAAAAACCTTTATGGAGCATTCTAGAACTGTTTACTAAGAATATTTGTACAAAAGCATGTTAAATGGGTATGGCCAATGGAAAACATAGGATCAGGAAAAGCTGTATGCTTCTGCACAAGAGAACTAAATCAACATGAGTGGCAGCTCACAGGCTTTCCAGCTAACATAGGAAAATCATTATTGCTTCATGTAAAGACAATTCAACTAGTTAAGTCAGTAAAATGTGTGCGACCAGTCAACCAAAATCCACGAGACTCCTCCCAGTTTCCTTATCCCATCCCTGGGTTTGCTCTGCATTTCTAAGTGTGTACATTTGCTATCAAGCATCGCTTTTGCTTCCCCAAGTTAGCACGTGACATTTACTAAGCAGTCAGGATGTAGGAGACTTCTCTTCACTGTGTGTCTTAGCTAGCCTAATGGCTCACATCTGCTACGCGTTTTCCAGCACACTCATGTGTAAATAATTAGTGTCTTTCAGTGGGTATTTTTAGGTGTTCTTGGCTGTAGGTAGAGATGGAAATAAAAACAAACTACCCCATAAACGGTCTCACTGTTTCTTACGCTGGTGACCCAGTTGTGGATGTTTCCAGGAATAAATACATCCAGCCCCTTCTACGACTTTACACCCTGACAGACCAAATTTAGCCTGGAGAGTCTCAGACAGCTGAAAAACGCTTCAATGTAGAACATAATCGCAGCTACTGGAGTCTCCCCTAACCCAAATAGCCGTGAGAACAGTAAATACTCCTTAAATTCATTACTTTATAGCTAAAATAATAGGTCCATAATATGAGAAAACTTCTGGTCATACCTACGATTCATTTAAACTCAAAATGTATCTATCTATTACCTTTAATATGCTGGTGCCAAAAAATGAAAGAGAGGTTAAAAAGAGAAGAAGAGAGGGCAACCAGGATTGAATGACAGAAAGAATAAAATGTAGCAGAGCCAGCCAGTGTGTTTTTGTTCCCGCAGCAATCTGCTTCTAGATTTGCTACAACTACGTGACTGGAAGTCCCTGCAACCTGGGTCCTGCTAATCAGACACGAATGCACTGGTTTCCCTCTTCTCTCTTAGGTCTACATACAGTGTAATATTCCCATTCTTCAGATTTATTGCTTTAATTATTTCTTAAGCGTTAATATTTACTGATAAGTTCTGTTGCCTAAATTTCATTTTATATCAAAGCTTAGCTCCAGAGTTGTCTACATCCTTTACATTCATTACATGTCTGCCCTGAGTGGTAGAAATTCTACAAATATAAGAAAGCTCTAGAAACAGAGAGATGGCTCAGAGGGTGGTACCTGCCAACAAATCCCTAAGACTCACATGGAAGGAGGAAGGAAATGGCTCTTTTCAGCTCTCCTCCAAGCTCCACAAATACACTATGGCATGTGGACATAAAATAAAATTTAATTGAATAAAAATATTTTTAATTGTTAAAGGGAAACTCACTTTGCAATAGAAGAACTGTTTTGTACTTTTACATGCAAATACTAATGTTTTCTATACATTATTTATTTGAATATCACACACACATACAAAGTTTATAGCAGATAGCGAACTACTTTTGAACAGAATCACAAAAGTCTTTTTGTCTGCACTCATATCCAAACTTAACCATGTACCAGTGTGTCTATACTTCAGCAGTCTGGTTTACAAAGTAAACATAATCATTCCTACCTCATGGATTCCTGAGATAGTTATTTAAGAAGATAATTATATGTAGATAATATATGCAAAGCATTTGAATATATATCTGGAACACAATCCTCCTGTCCCATGGGCTAAAACATTATTATATAATCATATTGTATTACTTGCTACAAGAATCCAAAACTCGGACACTATAGCTATCTAAATAAAGTAGCTTCAATTCCAGTTCCTCTGCAGTCATGGAAAGTCTCCATAAATGCTATAAAGTAATGCAGATGTGTTTTGCACACCAACTCATCTTACATATTGTACATAGAGGCGTGCATGTACAGAAGGATGGTTTGAAAGCAGTGGTACAATGAACCCAGAAGTATTAGCTGAAAGAAAAGTTTCTGTTTTTTACTACCAATACACATAACATATCACAAACATAACAAGCAACTTCCTGTGGATCTCACAGCAGAGCATCTCTCTCTCAAACAGGTCTACTAACAATAACTTTGAAGTGGTTTACTTACTTTATCAGTGGTTGATGCATATTGGAATATATAGTTTCTCTAATTAATACACAACTTACGTTAAAAGACATTCAATTGTGTTGATAGTCTACTTTAATTCAGCAAGGTCACTGGGGACAGTCAACTGTTCAGGACTTAGATTTCTTCACATATTTTCCAGTTTTTAGGTCACTTGGCTAATTTTTAACACATCTATATAAATAGTCCAAAAAAAAAAAACTGAATGATGAAAATGTTTTGATTTTTAGTATTTTAACTTGAAGTGTGTAAAACAGTACCTCCTGGTTTATCTTCAATAAAACACTAACTCTCAAGAGAGATAGTTGAAAAGTAAGGGGCTGCGATACATTTTCTCACCAGCACTAAACTTATAAGACAGCCGACATGCAAATACCCTGAAGACTAAGACTACCGAGACTGCCATGTACTAAAAATTGCTAAGTATGAAATGCCTCAGTGTTACTAAGTAATAATATTAAGTCTGATGTAATGTTATCAGTCAGACCTCTCTTGATACTAAGTCCTGAAAAAGGGCCAATTTTCCACACAAACCATTCCAACTCACCCAAATTAATGAGTACTCAAACAGGCAGCATCCAGCCAAGATCAGGTAGTAATTCTCCATATGACTCAAGAGTTTAAGGCAGATTTTAGAAGACTGTGCTAACACAGGGCTAGGAAACCTAACCCACAGAGCAAGCATACCGACCACAAATACTGTATTTTATGCATGTTAATAAGGATAGAGCTCAGCCAATAACATGGATCAGATAGTCTTTATCCTACAGAGGATGACATGGGGGACAGTTGGACAAAGACTCTGAATGTTGAACATATCTGAGTGCTACACTCATCGTGGGTGGGTGTAAGGTAAGTAGTTTAGAATGCAGTTGGGAGTTAAACTGGTTTAAGAAAGTGGCAATGGTACGTTAGTTCTCAACTCTCATCAAAGCAGGCTCCCCTCCAACCCCCAGCAGATGGAGACCATTACAGAAAAGCAACAGCGTGGGGTGCCTGCCCCAACTGATATTTCTATAGATTCTAAACCTAAGGCTCAGAGAACACTGCAGAAGAGGGGAAAGAAAGATTGTAAGAGCCAATAGAACAGGATGCTTGCTGTGAGAATTTGTCTTCATACGTGACAAGGATGCTACACCGAAGAAATCTCAAAAAAAAATATATATATACATATATACATATATGTGTGTGTGCACACACATGTGCCTTCATGTGCATACATTCACATGTGCACATGTGTGTGTGTAACAATGATATCTAAAGAGAATTTAAGAGGGAGTGGAGGCAGGGACATGGGAGGGGGTGGAGGGAGGAGAAGAGGGA